AGTTGTATGAGCCCCTAATAAAATGTTAAAAAAGAAAAAAAAAAAAAGAACATTTGAGAGAAAGTAAAACAGGACTTTTCCAAACTGTTTTGTCCAACACAGATGTTTCCACTTCTGCAATCTGTCACCACTTGGAACCGTCTGAAACGCAGCACATTGAAGGGCACAGCTGTTAACTTCTCTTTAGTTCCCAAGGTAACAAGAGACTACACACCTTAGCTGACCATTGAAAAGATTGTTTTATTCCATGAAAATATTTTCAACAAGAACACTATCTTAAACAAAGCATTTACCATTAAGAAATCAACATGTGCACACAAAGAGTAAAAATTACTGGGAAATTAAAGACTTCTCTTGGGACAATTCACATGTTCAAAATTTAAGAATGATTTAAGAATGATTTAAACTGTGCAAGTACAAATGTCTCTCCTAGTGTAATAATCCATATACAGGTTACACGAGTCCACTGGAAGGAACTTGCCTCCTACGGAAGCAAATCCTGCTTTTACAAAACAAACAGTAGCTTGAAAAGAACAGTTAGTCCTTATAAGAAAGCCTTAAACTTTGCCCTCTGTGGCGGCTAGCCAAAAAATACAAGCACGTCAGGCTTTGTACAGAAGACAAACACAGCCAGATCACATTTCCTCCTTATCGCTAACCTTTAAAACAAAAATAGCACTAGATTTTAAAACTACTTCACGTAGTCTGTCCGTACTGAATAATGTCACATTATATAAATAACCCTGTAACAAGATTCAAAATCTAAAACTTTATCGTTTACTAGCCTCAAAGATAATACACTCTATATCAGCTGTGTAACAGTGGCATACTTGATCTTACGAAGGCATTATGAACGTTCACACAATCGTCATTCAGCTTTAGTATAACTGGTAGTAAGATTCAAATAACACTGGGGAAAAATTATTAAAGCAGTCACACAGCTTCTAAAATATTGCTTAAAATACAAGAATACACAGACCAGTTCACGTTCTCTTTCTTCCCTCAAAACAGTAAAGAACCAAATTAATGAAGTTTCAGTGGTACAAACACCCCGCCCCTACCCAAGCCCCGCCTATTTCTCAATTACAACACTACTAAGAAATCAGTTAGGATCCAAGTCAGTAACAGAACCACAAATGCGAAGCAGGGCAACATGAGCAATAGGGACCACTAACAACAATTATATTTACAGGTATAAACATAAAAGAAATTTCATTTTACAATTAAAAGTGCACAAAGATCCTTACAAAGTTTCACTAATTTTTATATCAAGTTTAAAACAAAAGCATCACTTGGAAACAGATGACCATTGTTAAGAATCAAATGAGGATTTCATAACCCTAAATTAAAAGACATTGGGGAGGATCCATAAAACTTTGCTAGGAACACTGAGCAAAGGACAAGGGACTCGGCGATGACTTGAGCTGGATGCACACAGTTGAAGATGCACCATGGGACATGGTAGAGCTCTTAAAGCCACCTACTGAGGTTCGGCAGCCGCAGCAGAGCTGCAGTGTTAAAGGAGGTCGCGCGCGCTGCACTGACACATAAAGCCCTTTGTGGGATACTGTAGTGGTCGGGTTGGCAATCAACAGATTTAGGCACTCGAGTTTAAGGCAGCATTTGAATGGAAGCAGCTGACTTTTGAAAACAGTCCTTTGTCTTGATGTGGCGAGCATCTTCCGTGTCTGTTATGCCAGGGCTTGAGTGCTGACTAGAGTCTTCCCAGACTGGCTGAGGTGCTGAAGACAGATATGGGACGTTGCACAGTTCTTTCCACTGGGCGGTAGGCCAGGGCAGAGATGTTTCCTTTTCTTATCACAAACACGTCAGGTTCATAGGCTACTTCTTTTCATAATGCCAAAACTGGAATGTTGTGCAGTGGGAAGTTATAGCAGCATACACAAAAACTAGGATGGGGACATTAGTGCAGAGACGTTTTTGACAAAGTGGTTTGCACTACCAATGTAGAACAAAACAGAAGCATTGACAACAACAGGGGATTATACAGACATGCCTGACAAATATAAACCGATCACTCTAGACATGCAACAGGATGTTACGCAAGCACAGAGATGGCGCAGGCAAACACTGACAGATGGCAAGGATTCTAGAAGACAATGGATCTAAAAGCCAATTAAGAGAGAGCTGGGATGGAGACAGTCCTGTTGGGACAGCCAAATGTGAGACAAAGTTAATGATGGCTCTGTACTCTTTCTGATTTGAAACATCAGTAAAATACGTGGAAAAAAAGGTGAGCCACACTTGGCTCTTTTTGCCCCCTCTCCTTCATAAGGAGAACTAGGAATTTAAGGGTTGGGATTAAAAAACACAATGTATGGAAATGCTAATGAAGTTAGTAAAAAATATTCATGTCTGCATGCACTCATGCAACTTGCTTCTCTCTCTTTGAGCCTGAAAATTCTAAGACCCTCCCCCCAAAAGCAGCTGCATGTAACCTCCTTCAACATCTTGCCCATTTCCTCAGAAACCCTCTTCAGGAACCTGCAGTCCAGGAGGAAAAAGAAAAGAACAATTACTGAAGACCTTTGGTAAAACCAAAAGGGGTGTTCAGTTCAAAAGTGTCAGCCCTAAATGTCTCTACATTTTATTACCAGCTACTGAACACCCAAAAAATCAGGAGCATGTGCCAAGCTAAGGGAAAGCCTCTTAGCTCCTCCCTCACCTTGTTTCCCCATCAACCGACCTAGGATGTGATCATACAAGTCAAGTTGTACAGGCCTTGTGAGAAAATGGTGGGACTGACTCTACGCCTGTTTACAACCAATGCTTGTTGAAATTCATTGGGGAGAAAATAATCTAGTCAAATAAAGATGATTCAGCTACAATGAGGAAATGCCCTAAACGGTGATACAGGTATCTTCACCAAATCAGCCAGTTTAAAAAATAAAAACCTTTCCTTTTACAAGTGTTTGCCAGTACTTCGTCTCCAATCAAGATGTCCTGAGTTCATTTAGATCCATTTTCCAATATGTCACCACTAAACATCACCACTAAGGTGGTATTTCCCAAAAGACATTTTCAAAATGAAAAGTACAAACCTATGATTAATTAAGAAGGGAGCATGCACATTATTAGAAAAATATTAGACCAGGCTGATTTATTTTGAAGGTCTCTTGATTAACCTACTACTTAAATAGATCATGTCCTAGGGCTGTGTTTTCTTCCTTTAGGAAATCAGAGTTAGAAGTAGAAAGGCAAATGAAAATCATTAAAATAAACTACTTTACTCATTAATCAACTATTCTTCTTCTTGAAAAGTAGAGCTAAAACCCCCAACCCCTAGAAGAGACCACTCTTTTGGGAATCAGTTTTCTCTAGCATTCAGAGCAGTTTAACTTTCAATTCACTACCGTCACCGTATTACCTGAAGTGGATGAAAGGAGTCCTACCCATGGAGTCCTATCCAATAAATCAAATTCTATGATTTATAAGCCAGCAAAACACAAATCCTTCACACAGACTGAAGCAGGACATAAAGCAAGGGCATCAAGTAAGCTTCACACCAACACCACTCAAATGGTAAAACATCATGAGAACCTCTTCTTGTGCTAATATCACACCTCTAAGATCAAGCCTACGCTCAGCTCTCATAGTGAACAAGTCTTGGGTGCCCTTTAAGTTTTCTCTTCACCAACCTGATGAGTGTGCTTTCATTTTATCGTATCGTTCTTATGTCAAGCACAGCACAGAGTGGCCCAGTTAGTTTAGATATAAGTTACTGCACCTTTACTGTTTTTCTCTAGAGTCACGTCTATGTATGACGTGGGAACATAGCCTTCTTCACCGTTCTGTCTTCGAGCTCTGGTCCATCCGTCGCCTTTGTCCTCCTCAATTATGTATAGAACTTCACCCTCTTTCATGGCCAGAGTACCTTCATTGTGTCCTAGGTGAGAGTTTTCAGAGTTCAAGCATACTTTATGCCCAGTGACAATTTTTAATAAACGTTAACAAATACAATACAAAACATTAAACATTAGCTGGAATCAAGAGCCCAGTAACTCTTGCTTGTAACATTTCTAGGGTGCTTCACAGCTACCCTTCACAAACATGCTAGCTCATATGAGCGGCACAATAACCTGCTGAGATTGGCATCAATAGAACCCTCATGAACAGATGAAGTGATGAGCTACCAAAACCCAACTCACTGCCATATTCGATGCCAACGCATAGCAACCCTAGGAGACAGAGTCGAACTGCCCCTGTGAGTTTTCAATACTGTAACTCTTTACTGGGGTAGAAAGCCCTGAGTTTCTCCCAAGAATAGCTGGTGGTTTCAAACTGCTTAACCACTACGCCAGTCATAGTGACATTATATGTGTGATGTAACAAGATATTCTAAATCTTATTTCATTACGCCAATTCTAGGAGCAAGTCAGTGAGGGGATGGGAAGAAAGAAACAAATCCTATGGTTTGAGAAGAGAGCAGCGAGAAAAATTCAAGTTCATCTCTGGTGGTGGTAGAAGCAGAATGGTCACAGCCACAACACAAACTTCCTTGAAACCACCACCGGCCTCAGAGCCTCCTTTTCCATCCCCAACCACACCCATGCTGCTTATCAAGAGGCATTTTCTACAGGGAATCTGCACCTAGCAAATGCTACAGTCCTTCCCTACTCACTAAATAACCCCGTAGCAAGATCTCATTCAATATCTTTTACCAGATGTGAAGTAATTAAAGCCTATTCAATTTAAAATCCAATGTAGTAGATAGGTGGGGAAGGGACTTAAAGCATATACCATTTTGCAACAACTTATTTGTGGAGGTGTCCCTCTGTGTGTCAAAGGATTTTTCAAAGGTTACTAAAAATCTGCAGCAGGCAGCCACAAGCCCTTACTTTCCTCCCAGGGTTTGTTTTGAAACGGCCACAGACGAAAGACTGGCATAGTTGGAACATCTACACTTCCTCTCCCCACCTCACTTACAAGGCAGCCTAAAGTCAGTAAAGATGGCGGCATATGGCTACGCCATCTAACCTTATGCCCTCCTGCCTTTTACATTCACCTTAACCTCACTGCCAGTAGGCTGCAAGGGAAGGCATGAAGTGATAGCTACCAGCCTTCTTCTTTCTGAGTTGTGCTGTGTTCGAGCTGCTTTGTCTTCATTGAATACATGCAGCCATTAGTTAAGATCTCTAGGGGGAATTCTGTATCAACCAAAGTTGATCATCAAACATTAGGAGGTGGATATTGGCCTACATTAGGATGCTGATAACATAATTTTCTTTCAATATTATGTACAAAATCAAAAGAAGATTCTCTATAAATATGAAAATGGAAACAAAAGTACTTATACAAACGAACTGAAATTTTAATTTTTTGACAATGTATAAGGGTAAGTAAAAAAGTATTGCTAAAAAAATTAAAAAGATAATAAAACTGTTAGTAAACAAAAATACCAAAATGTGAAGCTACTGTTTCTCAACATATTCTCCATGTAGAGATTTCTGAAAGCAGTGCTGCTTCCCATCTCTCTGGACTTAAACCACACCCACCTCTATCCCTACCCTCCTTCCCCGGCACACAAATTTATACCACACCAAAACAGCAGACATGGCTTCCCTCAGGGACTCAAATTATGTTCATTTTAAATGATCTTCAAATTTTGGCCAAAAAAAGACATTTTAAAGGCTAAGTTCAGTGCCATAGTGTGGATGAGGTAAGGTTTCCTCATGAAATTCTCCTAAGAGAGCCTTCGCTACCTTTGAAGAATGAGCAGATGCATTGTCATGATAGAAAAAACTCTTCAATGCAAACTTCCTGGCATTTTCTTATCAATACAGTTTTCCATTTTCTTAAAACATCTTCAAAATAATCTATCCAGGTTACCTCTTGGCAATCCAAAAACCCGGTCACCAGAAACTTCTGAACTGACCTTTGCCCTGAACCTAAAGGATCCAGCAGGTCTCTTAGAAGTTGCTGTTTTAATTGGATTTGTTTTTAAAGGCTCCTTAATGAAACTAAGACAGTGTATTACGGATAGACTTTGTCTGCAGTCATCTACTTGTCACACAAACATGTTTCAACACGCTTTGTTTGAATAAACCCATGCACTTATGAACTGGAAGACTAGTAGCAACTTTCTAACTTACCTTCATATTATTTATCGAGGGATACTAAACAGATACACATTTAGACTTGAAGAAATTCATTTTTATAGAGTATAATATATTAAGAAAATCATACCATCGAAAGGGTAGATAGCTTTGCAGTGTCCAATAGCAGGCAAAGGATCATCATCTTCAAATTCATCATCAAACTCATTGTGGTGAGCATGCTGCTGGGGTGGCCCACGAACTTCCTGGTTTGCATCATCAGTGTAACTTCCCTCAGGGCTATAAAACACAAAATTACCTCTGATCAAGTCACTCACAAGGAAACTCCGAGCACAAAATTACCTCTGATCAAGTCACTCACAAGGAAACTCCTAGCATTAACTACAAGTTGATCACTTCAGGATCAAATCAAGGAATCAAAGAGAGTTCAAAATTCAAGCCTTAGTTTCTTAAATGTTGATTATATAAATTGCTTCTAATATGGGATACTTCTTTGCTATATTTTCTGGGGGGAAATATCAAAAGCTTGCAGTGTTTTACACACATACTCTAAAAACATCTCACAATCACCTCTCATCAGAGACAAAATGGAAAAACATGGTAGCACAACTTGCATCTCATCATTCAGAACTTGTCTCTTCTCCCGCTTCTTGTGTCAAGAGAACCCAGAGATTCCTTAGGGAAACATTCAGACCCAAGTTCAGTTCACAGTCTTCAGATGGAGTTGTTTCCATCCTGGATCCAGAGGGACATTTAAACATAGCACGTGTATGGCTGACATAGTTCATAAGCAGGCCTGTAATCCAACCAGATGCAGAGATACACAGGGACTTCAGCTCGCTGAAAAGCTCACTCTCTTTTCTGCTGGAGGAATCTTAGCCTAGGGCTTTGGAAGACTACCATATTCAACTGCATAATGAAGTCACCAGTGTAGAGCACAGCTAGGAGATTAAAAAAAACAAAACAAAAAAAACCACCCTGTAGATATCATCTGAACTTGTAGGACAAGCTCACTCTGAAATTAGCCAATAAACTCACAGCCAAGGCAGACAGTAAATTTCTAGTTAAATCATGTTAACAGGGAAATCAGTAATTCAAAAAAGGTAAGTAATCAGAAGGCATCTGTGATAGTTAGGTTTATTGTACCAATCTCGCTAATAGGAACATATGGGATTAATCAAGTTGCAGTTTGATTGAAGGGCAAAGAGATAAATGCCTCTGAAAGGCCCACCCATACCCTCTTGCACTCTGGCGATCAGATCAGCATGCGGCTGCTTTAGCTAGTTCTCTGCTTCAACCTGTGAGCTACACTGCCTGTGGCCAAGCCAACCCAGGGATCATGCTGCTAGAGCTTACGGCTCCTTCGAGACCCATTGAGCTTCATATTAGTGGATCCTGTCACGATATATTGCTTGAGTTCAATAGCCCATCCTGGCCAGCTTCACTAAGCTCCTGACTGCTGCTGACCCAACCTGCTGTTTGCTGCCTGTGGGCACATTCTGCCTGCTTTGCCAGGGAGGACCCAGCTATCTGTTTCCCTGACTTGGGACCCGGCAGCCCACATGAGTTTAAGGACTTCCAGTACATTAACTGTTCCAGAGAAGTGAGATGAACTGTACTGCTCTGTGGACTACTTAGCTATTATATTCCATCTTGCTGTATAACCCTATCCATATATGTATTCCTAAGTGTCCTGGGTTTGTTTCTCTAAAGAACCCTGCCTAACCAGCATCTTAATTGTGTTTAATTTTTTTTAATTAAAGAGAAATTAGGCTAATAATTTAAAGAGAGTGAAGAAAATTGAAGGCATCTGTGAGCAACTAATAGACATTAATTGCAAAAATTAGCCTCCATGACCCTGAGACCCTGTGCCCACTACCACTACCAACAGCTCTGAAACAGATCACATTAGAAGGCCCTAGATAGAGTGTGAGAAAAATTTGAAAGAAATCTCAGAATCCTAAGCAACCTGGCTCACTGGTCGAAGACTGGTTGGACACCTACCCCCACCCCCTCAAGACTATCAGACCTTAGTCACATTCAGGTCTGAAAATGAACATACACCCATGGCTCAATTTTCACCCAAATAACATACAGATCTGTATCGGAAATAATAACACTAGTGAACTTCACATATTTTAAAATAATCACTAATTTGCTATGAGTGGGACAGCATTTGCCTAAGGGCCAATTTCAAGGGAGGGTATGAAAAAATGGGGAATACAAACAGGAAACACAGGAACAAGTGAGATACTACTGTGGGATTGCAATTAATAACATGGAACGAAAAGTATGCATGAATTGTTGAATGGAAGATACATCTGTTCTGAAGGGCTTTACCAAATTCACAAAATGTTAAAATAAATAAAAGCAGTGACAAGATTTTAATCGTTGAGGAAAAAAATCTACAAAATTAGGTTTAATAGTACTTTCAGCAAGGCTGAAAGCCATATGCTTAGACAATACATGCCAGGGAAACTAGATCCTTTTACTCTATGTTTTTACCTGATAGCAAAGATCAGTGTATGGACAGTACGTCTTGATATACCACAAACATATACGATTACAAAAAGTGATGAACAGGGAACCAAAAAAAAGAGAGAAAGAGGAACCAACATCACCCATTTTACTGCCAGGTGCTATATTACTATGTGCTTTATGTAAATGATTTCATTTATTACTAACAGCCTTATATGATGGGATTTTAATTTACCTTTTAGGAAACTAAAAGACTGAGAAAATTAGCATAACCTCAGATTTCAACTCATGGCATCCCTTGTGTACAACGTGCTAATAGTAAGAAAAAGTGTGCGGGAAGAAAAGGGTATATTTGAGAACTCTGTATTTTCCATGCAAATTTTCTATTAACCTAAAGTTGTTTTACAATAATAAAATGAAATGGAAAGGAAAGAAACTTTAAAAAGAACCCCCTAAACACCGTTTCTTTGGCCAGGACAACAAAATGGGATGGTATCTAGCTCCATCACTGAGCACTCTCATACTTTACCAGCGGCTATTGTAAAAGAAACAGCAAAGTATGTAGGTTTAAAAGCCAGATTATTAAAGACTAAAAACTTATTAAGGATGAAAGAAAAGGGGACTACATGAAGCTTAGGACAAAGGGGTGGGAAAAGTTTGAACGAAAAGGAGAAATACAAGTAACATGCAAAAAAACAAACAAACAAGTAACATGCAAAAAGTAAAAAATTGACCTTTCTCGTCCCTGTGTGACAAGATGATTTATGTCACTGCTGTGTCTTCTGTCTCCTCTCCCACCTGTTTTGCCTTCAACTTCAGAGAGCCAAGCCTTAGGGGGGAAAATAACTGAGTTCAATAAATATTTTTGAAAGCTCATACATTTAAAATGTGCTTTGATATTTTACAATTATGTATTTCTTGGAGAGCAGGGAACTGATTTATTGAATCTGGTCAATGATCAACATTACAGCTGGCAAAAACAAGTATGTGTTTAACTGTTCTATAAAGGCTTAAATTAAAACAGAAAACACTTCAATAAATATTTAATTCCAAAGATTATACATCATAATTATGTCTTACTTTTAGATCATAAGCCTGATAGTTAATTAATCTTTGAAGGTAATTGTAGCAAAAACCAATTAATCATAGCCAAACTAATGAAAACAAGCAATTGCTTAATAGAAAATCTACCTCATTCTTGTGGATTTCCATACGCAGACGGTCAATGGTATTCATAGTCTCTGCTAATTTGGGCTGCAAACTCCCAGGATCCCCCATTTGTGGATTTTTCTCATACACATCCTTCATTTTGTTGAGTGCATCTCTGAAAGAAACCATAGAATTGAACACACACATCATATGCTTCCAGATAAAAGAAGTTTTATTTGATTTTAAGGACCCATACACAAGAAACCAAGTCTAATATATAGCCTTAACTCTTTTGAGTTTAGTCAAGCATTACTTGGTTAATGACAATCTGCATAAAAATGTAGTTAATAATTTAGGAAGATAGTCATTTGAAAGATTTGAAACATTACCCTACCTAAACAAAATAGTAAAATACCACTTCTCATTTCTTGCTTCCTAAGTAACACACAACCACCTCCATCTAATATATAGATTTAATCAAGGGCTGGAAGAATATTCCTGAATATTCTCATTCATCATGTTCCAAATCAAACATTACCTTCCCATCCAGCCATACATCCCACCCCATTCCATATCTCAGGTCATAGCATCCTCCTCCTCCTCCTCCTCCTCAATTTTGCTAGAAATAGGAATGTACTCTTTGACTTGCCCTTCTTCGCCAAATGCAATCACATTTGCAGTTCCTCTTAATCCACCTCCTCTTCTCTAATCACAGTAGGTTATGCTCAGATCTCTTAACTCTAATACTCGCGACTCCAGCATTCTCTGATGGTTTTTCTCCCTGGACCCGAGTCTGTCTGTGCTCCTTCCTTTCCCGCCTGTTTGCACAACCCCTCCACCTTAAATGCCCAGCCTTTAAATTAATGTGACATAACACGACAAAGGCCACAATTTCATCTCATCCTGCATTCCTCTTTGAAAATGACCTATCACTTTATTATCACTTCTCTTTCGACATTTCTTACATATATTATCCTCCAGTTCTCTTCCTTTCATAAAGTTCTTGATTCACAATACCAAAATTCAACTGGCCTTTCCATATGGATTTTTAACAATCAAACAAGTACAACCATTATCTTAACCCCAAATTAATTTTTTCTACAAACTTTTTGTTGTTTTACTCCTCTATTTTTCTCTTAGCAAACATCAATCAGGTAAATAAACCTGACCCACTATGTCTTTGGAATTATTCTATTTATTCCTCTTTTTATTTCCATGCCCTAGTTTAAATTTTCATTACTTTAACCTGGATTATAAAATCCCCTTGATGGCTCTTGCCTCTAATCCAGCGGTTCTCAACTGGTGGGTCATGACTCCTTGGGAGAGGGGGTGGTGGTCAAAAGACCTTTCAGAGGGGTCTCCTGATTCATAACAGTAGCAAATTTATAGTTATGAAGTAGTAACAAAAATAATTTTATGGTTGGGGCTCACCACAACATGAGGAACTGTAGTAAAGGATCACGGCATTAGAAAGGTTGAAAACCGCTGCCCTGGTGTATGGCTATTAGAATCAACTCAATGGCAACAGGTTGGATTTTTGGGGTTTATAGTTCTGCTGCAATCTGTTACATATAGTAAACACCAAGTATCAAATTCTGTTAAAAATTTTCAAGGACTATATGTTGCTCTAGTAAGAAATATTTTTACTTTAAAAAGTGTTTGTGCTACTATTGTACTATTTATGATCAACTATCAATACCAACGTTGGAATAATTCTCCCCCCCCACCCCCCATATGTATGAGACCAAGCGTCCCTGGGCTGCTACAAGAAACTAGCAGACAGGGATAGATAAGAAACAACTTTACTTTGAGCAGGGGGAATGAAAAATAGCACTTAACAGCTATATTGTAGTCTAAATCCTGCTGCGTTGGAATAATTAATGTTAAAAGTTTAAGCTTCGATTTTATCTTCCATATGAATATAGATAGTCAAGACCTCTTTAATAGGTCTTCTGCATCAAATTTTGAAACTTTTAATTAGCTCTTTACTTTAATTCAAAATGTAGACCTAAAAAGAACTTGCTACTAAAAATGAAAAAAAAAATTACATTCACATGTGAACAAATATGAAGCAAAGAGTAATGACGTACTGATTGTTAACATGTTTTCCTACAAACAAAATAATTAGAGATTCAAGTTTCTATTAAACTCATTTAATATACCGAAGTCAAAGAACACTGGTCAAAGTGTAAGAGATGGTTAATGTCAGTTGGTTGAACTATTCTTGATAACAATCATCAAGCTACTTTGAAAATTTATAGGAGACATAAATATATAATACGAGCATCCAATTAAAATCCCTAACAAAAATTTCCTAACATGCCATTTATAGTTGTGACCTGAAAACCCTAAAATTTTAAAAGTTTAGGAGTACATAATCTCTTCAAAGGGTATTTAAATCACAATGTATAGTTTTTAAACTTCATGCACATCACATTTAAAAACACATCATCCAAAGAGACCCTGAGAAGAGAACAATCATGATTAAGAGGAATGTACCTTTGGTCTGATTCTTTGTGCAGTTCTCTGTTAAGTTCATCAATGCGCTGCTGCAGTTTTTTGCGTCTCTGCTCTGGTGGCAAGTGACTGAAATCTTCTAGTGCTGGACCCTGTGAAAAGAGGGGTATATCATTATAAAAGACATTTTCAAGAAATTTTATTTTCAAATATGTCCACATTTAAAAAAATACTAATTAAATAAATCAAATTAGCCCCTGAAAACCTGCTTAAAAGCAAAAGCAATATGCTATATAGATATGTGTGTATGTATACTAATTCAAATAACTATGTGGAGGAAAAAGCTCAAACTCCGTTATTTAATAAAACAATGAAATAGAAAAGATAAACATATCACAGGAAACAGAATTGGCATCACATCATGTTCAAGTCTTGGCAGTTAAAATAAATACAATATGCATCTTTATTCAGCAGCAGCAACACCAACAATGTGAGAACATATAACATTTCTCATCCACACAAAGTACTGCTTTATATAAAACCTATTACCACATTCCCAAATCAAACTCACTGCTATGATAGTCAGCACATTAAAAATGTTCAAGCTGAAAAGATCAGTTTAAATAACTCAGCTAAGCAACTTACCTCTTAAAAACCAAAAAAAGGAAAAAAAACAAAACAACCTCACTGCCATCAAGTGGATTCGAACTCATATTGACCCTGAGAGACAGAGTTTCTGAGACTGTAACTCTTACTGGAGTAGGAAGTCTCGTCCTTCTCCCATGGAACCGGCTGGCTGGTGGTTCTAAGTGCTGACCTTGTGGTTAGGATCTCAACATATAACCACTATGCCATAAAGGCAACCTACCTCAAAAAGGGAACCTAATTAATAAACATACTTTAATACTACATAAAATCTTTGAAAGACTGGATTTGTTAAACCATTACTTAGAACCAAAACATATCTGACCATTAAAAAGAAAATGTTGAACTACATGCCGAGTCAAATTTAAATATATATTATATTCCAACATGAGTCTATTTTCAAGTATCCAGCCTAATAGCATCCACACCCGCTGTTCCTAAAAGAAAAATATAAACTTTCCTTTAAAAAAATATACTTTGATATGGAACTCTGGCTTAATTTGTCTTTTTAATCAGCTACATTAGCTATGCTATTAGAGGATTACTCAGCAGAATCAGTGTTAGCCATTATTGATTCCATTTAATGTAAACTCATATTTATGTAAGTTTTTATACACTCCCAAAATTGCTGACATCTGTCACTTTATTTTTCTTCTCCAAAGGATGATTTTTAAGAATATACAGTTGCATTTATCTTAAATGCTGCTAAAACGACCCCAGAACAAATGTACATGGGCATTGTCTTCTTTGGGCCATTTCTGCCTGTGACATAATAAAGCCACTGGAGCTTTACTGCACCATCTCTAGGAAGGCTTCCCTTACTTAATAGTAATTAACCAAAAAAAAAAAAAAGAGAGAGAGAGAGAGAAAGAAAGAAAACTCACATTTAGGATGAGCCATAATGGAATGTAACATTTAATTAACAATAGAACTCCTGGAATCTGTCCCCGGGGGTGTGCACAATCTGCACATTCAATAAGCCTAACTAAGAAAAGTAGAGCATTCTGTGTAAGAGGCTTTGTCGCCTCCATCTTCTACTCCACCAAGAGCAAGAATCAGTCAGCCAGCCAAATCTGACCTACATCAATGGACAGAACTTCCAGTGTGAGATCTCCTTAAACTCAGTAACAAATCCTCAACATAAATCGTTACACTTAATCTAATTTTGGATACAGATTTTAAACAGAATTTTAATATGTGCCAAAGATAAAAACTTTCTCGTTTATATAGTTTTAAATTTTTAAAAAGTTATTTAATGAAAGACATTTCAGTAATTTTCTAGACCTATTATAGTAAATTGTCCAGTGTTCTATTTATTCCTAATCAAACTTGGTCAAATTTGTTAGTAGTAAAACACCTTACCATGTGCACTTCTAATATCTCATTTTGACATAACTTAATCTTTTATAGAATACGAAAACGATACTAATTCTATCTCTTTTGGATGTAAACAAGCCCTCTGAGACACTTCGCAACTTCTACTACAAGGGAATTCAGAGGTCCAAATGTAGCAGCATGATAAAGAGTGATCTATTTTCCACCAACACAGAGAGAAACTATACAAACAACAACAATTTCTGGGCCAGGTCTTCACAATGCAGTTCTATTAATTTGGTTGAAATAAATGTGCACAGGGATATTCCAATCACACACACACACACACACACACGAACACACAATTTTAGACTACTTATGCTTCATTCTCTTTCAACAATGAAAACAAACAGTACAGCACTGACTCCATAATGAAACTGATAGGAAAACGATGTTCCTTATTTCTGGAAAATCTAATGATTCTTATGATAAGCTAAAAATCAAATTTCTATGCTCTTCTTGAAAGGAACCAACAATCATTTTTGTTAAATTTCTCTTCTGTATCAAACTTGAACTTTTGTTCTATCATGTAACTTTAAAATTAATATTCAACAATAATTTGTCCTCTTCTCTTATATGACAAGGATGTCTCCCAGTAACATTAAGAATTTAACAGGCTGGCTACAATTAACTGTTCAAAGAAATTAAGAAGTAGGTACTGGCATACGCCAGAACACTGGATACAAAATACAAAGAAAAATCACATAGGTGAAAATGTGTTGATGAACTGTACAGCTTGTTTTAAACAAAACAATGTTTGGAGAGTATTTAATGTTGGCACAATATATAGATCAGCACATAAGGCTTACCATCTTCACCGACCACTGAATAGTTCAATGGAAAACAGAAAGAAATGGTAAATTATTCACATGAAATCATAATATAGAAGATGCAATACCCTATACTTTTTCACAATAGTAAAATAAATTAAGTACATTTCACAATCCAAATAATTATGTCAGAAAAGCAACTTGAAGCACATTTTGGAAAATTAAATCAATTGCAAAAAAATAAAAAGCACACACTGATGATAATGGGCAGATATTTTCTAAGTTTAAGACATTGAAACTCAAAAGTAAATGGTAATTATTCTATCAGTAAGGCATACTTTTTAAAAAAATCTTCATACAAATAGATTTTATATATATTGCTCTTCATATTCTCAAAGTACAAGTATTTGAAAAGCAGAACGCTGAATAGTTGTCATTTTAAAAAGATTTCTATGAAGAATGTTGAAAGGTAAAAACACCATCTAAATTTTTATAGTTCAAACTAGTTTTTAATTTAAATGTGTTAGATGAAGGAAACAATTATACTTTCATAGCTTAAGACGTTTTATATTCTGACACATTAAAAGCATATTATCATCAAAATCGTTTAAAAGTTAGTTACCTAGATGTTCAAGTTTCCCCATAAATATTTCCTAAAGATAGTTTTGAATTTTGCTTTAAAAATAGTTTCTGTTCTTCAGCCTTTATTGTTAAATCCATGTACTCAAAATGCAACACTAAATATGTTAACTTTTAGAAAACTAAGATGTATTCTTTCTGAAAATATGAAATGAGACATATTGGGACAGGCCAGCTGGAGTGCTCTCACATACAGTATATACTGCATGTGTAACTAACGCACTGCTGCCATCGGTAGGTTAGGGGGATTCTGAAATTGGCACTGCGTCTGCAGCTATCCTAACGTCAGACACACAGACTCAAATACAGACAGAGACATGGGCAGACACCACACTCACACACAATCCACTGCCCTGAACAGAACATGCCATGGAGCTTTCTCCATAAAGTTAATCTGCACAGAGCTCACAGTCCCTACTTTTTTTTTTTAACCGTTTTCTAAATCATGATACTTTTAGAGGGTCGGGAGATGTCAGGTGGAATTTTACAAAACAATATAAATTTTAATAAATATCTGACAAAAATATCTACCCCTTATCTATGATTAATTGGCCATATGTATTAATGGTTATGATGATAAGCAAAGATGGCATGTTATCCATTATCTTTCCAAATTAAGCAGAACATTCTTTAGACTGTCAGTAGTTTTAAGAAACAAAAAGCACAACTTGTTTAACTATGATAAAACACCTGGTAAGGAAATAAGGCGGCTTAAATTAAACATCAAAATTCATGTCTTCATTAAATGTTATCAAAATAAAATTATGTGGGAATAAGAAATAAATATATATATAATATGAATTTGGTGTATTTTATATGATCATTTTCACCTTTGAAATTTCAAATGACGCACATTTTAATTTCTATACCAATATCTTTTACAGAAAATATTACCATAGCTATAGTTCAAATATTAAACGCTTGTTTCAGTTATATAATTTTACTACTTATTAGAAAATAAATTTATACTCATTAATTTTAGATTTTGGGGTATAAAAATGATATTCTTTGTAAAAATATTATTTTTCCTCTTTTTAAAAAGAAATACACGTCCACTACAAAAATGCCTTACTCTCAACTACCTAGAAATTTTCATACACCACTATACTTAAAAAAATAAACAATGGAGCTAAAAAGATTATCAGTCAATTTATTAAAATTATTCGCCGTAATTTCATTTAAAGATAGACCAAAACCCTGAGAACTAAACTCTGGAAAGAAAATATCAGAACAACTCAGGGAGGCTATAGGCTTGCGAATAATCTAGGCATAAAGCTTAGCTGTGTTACTTAAAAATCTATTGCTTTAAAAAATGGAGTGAAATGCAAATGAACTAGTTATAAAGTTATTAGTCATCCCTCAGGAAAGTTCCACTTTCTAACTAAAAATATTAACATTTTTCAACTGCTTACTGTTAGTGGGAACCATATACACTAGGTTTTCCTTAAAAAACAAAACAACAACAAAACGGCACTTTAGAAATGCCCTCAAACAAAAACACAGGTATTTAGGAAATATAGTGTCAAATAAAAAACTACTTAAAATAAGAATTTCTGGATTGAATGGTACAACTTAGCTTTAAGAAGACTGAAGATTTATTAACTGGATTGAGAAATATATTTAAATCCACAAAAATAGGCTTATTAAAGCATACCTGTTTCTGTTTTTGGTCTACACTAAGAAAATTCTGAAGTGGAAGGAAAACATCTGTATGGGTTAATTTTAAAATAATATCTAGTAAACTACTTAGTAGCAAGCAAAACAAATTTCTCAACTCCAAGACAGTAAGGCAACTTCCATGCTGGCTCCACTTCCCCGTCTCGTCTCCTAGCTCATTATCTGTCATATCTTCTATCTTGCAGATCACTTTATTCTCTGACACAAAAACCAACAGGTAAAATGGGAACATGTTGAGATTTTACAAAAACCAAGTCTATGGCCATCAAGTTAACTCGGAATCATAGTGACCCAACAAGACAGTTTCAGAAGACTGCAAATCTTGTTCAGAGCAGACAGGCTCACCTTTCTCCCACAATGCAGCTAATAGGTTTGAACTGCTGACCTAGAGGTTAGGGGCCCAATACACTGCCGGGGCGCCTCATAAAACCCATGTATTCTTAATATTAAAGCAATATATAAAAATAAAATGACCAAATAGTTTTAAGCTCTGCAGTTTTAACATATCCCTATGACTATTCTGTGTACAATTCTATAACCGAGTCCAGCAGATTCAATATGTAGGATTACAAAACCATTACAAAAATATAGTCACCAGGTAATTTCTCATCATTTATGTAATAAAGTAGCACACAGAAGCAACATGAAAATTAATTCTACCCTCATAATTGAAGCATCAAAAATTCCAAATGTGATTTCTTAAGGTCTTTCAAACAAAAGTGTTAAGGGCTTTTAAAAGTGATTAAAGGCATTTGGTAGTACTGGTAGGTACTACAGGCTTATCCAGACTTTTCAAAATGCCATCAATTACCTACAATGGCATCCACACACAGAAATAGGTAAGGTAGACATATAGAAGTTTGTGTCAATATAGGACAAAAGGAAGTCCACATAAGGATTTAACACAGTGGGACATTTCTGCTGCATTAGTATTGTCAGTTAAGTTGGTCATTGCTTTCATGGAAACATACGTTTATAATAAAGCAATCCTGTTCTGAATTAATATTATCTTGCTCTACTCATGGCCTAGAGAGAAACTCAATGAAAGGAATTTGAAGATAGAAAGTGCTACAAAAAACAAATCAGAAATGTAGGTAGGAAAGAAGAGGGGAGGGAGGCCAGAAAAATAGGAGAGAATCCAAGCATTGTGCAGATTTTTGTTAATAATGGTATTTTCTGTAACATTGATAGATTCTGATTTTAACTATGGGCCATCACTTTTGTTTTTCCTATGTCCACACAAATCTTATACTTGTATCTAAATTAAGAGCTGTGCACATTTTAAACACGCTCTTAAAATTAAACATAAACAAGAGAAATAAGCCTCATTAACATAATGAACTATACTAATTTATTTATCAGTAGTTTAAGAGTAGTTTTAAGAAACAGTCTAGTATTTGCTTCCTACTATTCTAAACATTTTCATTTGCTGAGTTTTTTAATGAGCCAAATGCTAAAGGATGGCCAACTTTACAAAACAAAATAAAGGAAAAACTATTAAATAAACATTTACTGGTTTTTAAATTCAAAAACAAATTTCATAGAAACTTTATCATTTGTATCTAGTACTTTTATAGGTTTTACAATACAAAATACTTTCTAAAATATTACCTTAAATTGATTCGCAAACAATCTTGGTATTTCAAATTCCTATCTTTAATTTTGTATTAACGATTAGAAATTATGTTTATAAAAGTAGGGTGATCAAAATTGAGCTGAATACTGATAGTGTCAATAAAATATTTTATAAATTGGCAGAAGTCAGCACTTGTGACAAATTATTACCCAGTGACAAATTACTGAAAGTCTTAAAAAATGTAAGTACGTTACAAGACAATGGTTGGACATATGATTTCACATAAACAAACAAAAAAAAGCTAAAATATGATTGTACCCAGCACCCTCTTTATAATACCATTCTTTTATGGTTGAATATTTCAAATGTTATAAAGAGGAGTTGTTTTTAACTTGAGGGCAGCTATACTTAATTCTGGGGTGTTTTTTAACTATGTATTTAAAGGAGAGCCTTATAATGAGGGTGGAGAGTATTGAAAGCCACACTACACACACAATAGGCCATCATGCACTTTAACCCATTATTAAACTTACCCCTCTTTTGAGACTTCTGAAAGAAGGAATTCTGGGCTTCCCTGTTTTTATTTCATTCATACAATAATGCACGGGCTCAATGGAGAATGTGAGAAACTGGGACCCATTAGGAGTACTGGATGTGAATAAACTAGTAGGGGTTAAGGGTGGGGACTGTGGCTAATATGGAAATAAAGAAAGGAATCAATAAGCCAAATGTGCATAGCTTTTTCCTAAATGAAAATTCTATTTTTGGCAACATACTTTTCACAAAATATATCTCAAAATTTTCTGTTCAAATGTTGTAAGTTAACATCAGTTTTCCCCAAACTGCCATTTTAAAAACTCAAATTTAATTTTAAACACATACCATATCACTGGATCATCTTACAAATTGAGATTAAAAATAAGAACACACACATTATAATGTTAGAGAGAACAATATGACCTAGATTAAATTTTTTCTCCCAATTCCTAAAATATTAGTATCATCCTGAATTCCTGGTTAGTTATACTTAACATGAATATGAGATAAAGGCAGCACCCAAAGCAAATATTATCCAAATAGGTAATATCACATGTAAATAACAAAACTGTAATGAAATTGTCACATACAACCAAAACGTTTTCATTAAATCGCAGTTTTCCTCTCAGACTGTATCTATTCCATCCTCATTTCACCTCCTTTTCCATTTTTTCAGTATTCCTTGGATTTCCAAGCTCTCCTTGCTACTCTAATGTGATTAAAAAGTTCTCATCTCTCGACTTCTCAACTGGACATTTTTAAAAGCATGAATAAAACTAGAATTAATTATAATTGTGCATTTAAAGATACTTAGAGGTATATCATAATTTGGGTTTACGTTTCATTTTATCTATACCCTTATCAAGACCATAAAAAGAATTAAAATAATCAGATATATTTTGTAATTCACAATTACAGAACAGCAGGTTAAAAATACATGCCTATTTCCCTTGCTATTATAATCACTAATTTATCAAAAAAGATAAAGCACTCATTTATTCCATCTGAGCTAGGTTTCTCTCTCTAAAATAAACCTACTGAACTAGGTTTATCTCTTTAAATAAACAACCTATCAAGGATAAAAATGAAACAGCCTGTTAAAAATTTGGATTCTACAAAGAATAAAATTCTTAGTCCTTAGTTTTTTCAATTAAGCAAGAATCTTAAACTCTGACCATTAAAAATTTATATGGATGATAAAAAAAATAATTTTGTATGATCTAGAAGACCTAATATGGCAGTTATCTTGTAGTGAGCAATTTACTATTGCTCACTCATTCAAACTGGAAATTGCAATTTAGTGGTCTTTTAGATGTGTCATAAGATTTACTTAGAAATTTTTATTGAAGTTTGAAATGAAATGAAATTTCAAAAGCATATCATTTAAGTAGATGTTGAAAATGACTTAATATTCTAACTTGCTTTAATGGTAGTCAAATAAATAGAAAATTTTTAAATTCTTAAGCATAAATTATTTCCTAATAAGTGAGAAGTTAACTGAATCATTCAAGTTGAAAATGTACACCTTCCATTAATAGTAAACCATTATCCATTCAATACCTACATTGATTTGACTGACATATTTTTAAAAGCTAATTAGCTTATAAGAATTTTATGACTTTTACCTTTGGCTTCTTTCCAAAGAGCCACAACTTGCCCTTGGCCTTTCCTACTGTGGTTTTGGCATCCATCTTCCCACCTTCCTGTTTGGATGTACTGATGGTCCCATCAGAAATGGTTCTATAAATATGCTGACTATAATCCTCAAATGGAAAATCTCCTGGAGGCTCAAATCCAGACTTGAAGGAGTCTACCACCATTTGAGAGTCCTACACACACAGGAAATAAAAGTCTTAAAAACTACTTACTCAATACCATATTAGCTTACCAAACCTTTATCAGTACAAGAAAAAAAAAATATTTGAAATAAAACCATAAATGAATAAAAAAAAAGAAAAACATTTGATGAACTATTTCTACAATCATTCAAAGTTTAATGTGGATGGTTTCTTCTGTGAATTTATAATAAACCCCAAATAGTTTAATTCCTGAAAGCTATACTAACTTAGAAGCAAATAATCAATTCATTAATCTATAATCACAAAATGTTTTTACTTAGTTTATTTTAAACCCACTGAAACTCATCTACGGACTGCTTGGTCAACAAGAAAGGTCTAAATGATAGGAAGCACATAGTAAGCTGGGGCTCCCAAATGCAAAGTCTCAAAGGACAAAAGACTCTTTGCAGGAAGGGACGGAAGGCCTTTGGAACAAAGGGAAAGTGTCTAATTGTCAGAGTTCACTGAGGAGTAAAAAGAGAAAGTCTCACTCATCCATCAGCGGGGAGAAAATCAAACTCACATCATGGAGTCGATTCCGACTCATAGAGACCCTATATAAACTATAGTAAAGATACACTGTGGAATGCTAATAGAGCCAACCGGGAAACTTCTCACTAACACTGCTGAAAGTAAAATACACAAATGTGAAAATAATATAAAGTTTAATACTGTTACTGAAACGTAATTATAAATGTTATATACATTTCCATGTGTATGGTTTACTGATACTGCAAACTCTCCCCAAACATAATACTTAATTTCCATAAACCACAGTCCACTCTATCTCCTTTTTTCCCTTTTTTGGTAAAAGTAGAGTCTGTCATTTAGTCAAAAGTCATCCTTAATTCATACCATCAGTTTTCACTAAGCCCTAGGGAAAGAGAATGAGGAGGAGGAGGAAAGAGGAAGAAGGGTCTGATGATATTATCATGCATATAACTTTGAATCCAGCAATATGCAAATATAAAAGCACCTCAGAACTCTCAATTTTTAAGTCTTTTCTTTGCTCAAGCTAATTTGAGTTAGAATTACATTATCTGTCACCAGAAGAGCCTCGCCAATATAAGATCAACTTGATAGGCTTGCTGTGAAGATTAAAATACAATAAACAGCAGGCACTCCAAACGCTGGTTCCCTTCTGGCTTCCCCTCCCCCTCACCTCTTCAGTATTTGTGGCCTACTTTCACAAATGTGACACTTTCAGGTCACTCACTCAACATTTTCTGAGAAATGATCTGTTAAAGATCCTATGAAACCTTAAACAAAAATTAGAGGGGTTAGAAGAATTAGAATTTTTTTAAAGTGTTTTGTTTTTTAATTATATAAAAACACAGATAAGAAAAGGCCAGCGTCATTATGTGAAGAGGTAACATAAGGCAGACCAGAAATCTACTCTTACTTTAACTGGATGTTTTGTTGACCAATTGAGCACATTTAAGAATATTTTAGTTGTTGCTATCCCAAGGAACACAGATTTTTAGTTTTTAAATAAAATATGAGCATTTTGAACGGTCCTAAAAGCCCAAGTTAGCCCACTCCAACCCATTCTAAAGTTTTCTTCTAGAGATATAATTTAGAATAAACTTCTGATAAGATTACTTTATTAAAAAAAAATTACTTTATTCTTTTCTCTGCTCATTTGACACGCTGTACAACTAAAGCAAACACATGTACTCCAAGATAATTATATAGCACTTACTCTTCTTTCATCAACAGATTTTGCTGCAAGAATCATTCCTTCCAAGCATTTTGAAATGATAGGAATAACTTTGCGTTCTGAGTCTGCAAACCCTCTGTAGCACTCACTGAGTTTGATAGTCCTCCTTTCATCCATTTCTTGTAGTTGCTAATAAAGAATGTTTAAAAGAATGTTTTAAAAAAGGAAAATGGGATTTTTTCATTCTAAAAGAAATCAATTAATGACTCCTAAAAAAAAAAGTTTTCTTAGACTAACAGTTATACTGTTCTTGTTAATTCCTTTTAACAAGTGCTATAGATTTACAATATTTAAAACCTGAGGCCTGTTGAATAGCTAAAGAATGGATGGATAGATGTCGGCCCGCGAAGGTGAGTCCCCAGGACCTGGGGGCGGGCGGGACCCGGCGAAGACTGGGCTGGAGGCGGCGGGGGCGGGCCGAAGGCGCTTATGTCGCCCACAGGTGGCAAGAAGCAGCTCCTGAAACAACCCAAGAAGCAGAACAAGGAGATGGACGAGGAAGATAAGGCTTTCCAGCAGAAACAGAAGGAAGAACAAAAGAAACTGGAGGAGCTAAAGGCGAAGGCCGCGGGGAAGGGGCCCCTGGCCACAGGTGGAATTAAGAAATCTGGCAAACAGTAAGCTGTTCTTGGTGGCTGAGGCAATGGTGACCCTTGATTCCGTTCCTGTGTAAACATCTGGATTCCCTGCTAGAACATTTGTTGCCACTTATAGTTAGAATGAAGTGTTGTCTTGGAGCCTGCTGTACATTAAGAATAAACTTTTGTAAAAAAGAAGGAAAAAAAAAAGGATGGATAAAAATCAAGACTTTAGTACTTAAAACCAGGTGGCACTGGTTTTCAGACCTTCTTAAATGGACCCCTTACAAGCTCTCTGCCCCACACTACTCTCAACGTTCACTCTTCAGTAAGAGCAGTTTCTGTTTAAGCTTTCAGGAAACATTTCCTTAGGCCACGAGTTTTTCTCTCTCCCATGAAGCAACTACACTACTGCTAGTTTTCTTACCATTTTTCCTCTGAAGCTTCACAGTTTTATTTTGGAGTTTCATTTTCAAAAAAGAAGGGTTCCCCAACATCATAAAATGGCACAACTGCTCAGCAGCAAGGACTAACAAAAAGATCAGCGCCAAAACATAGGGCAATTTGTCTTCTGGTCCTAACAGGGCCTCCTGACAATATGGAGCAGGCTTAGCCAGTACACTTGGAAAAGCCCCAAAGAGTAAGGACCAGCAAGCTTGAAGCTCCGGATTAAATGACCAGAATCTGATATCCTCCCTAGTCCACCAACTCTTATTGAGCTGCTTCTGATCAACTAACTTTCCTTACAAGGAAAACAGGATATTTGTATTGACACTCTTCTGCTATCCCAGATACTACCCACACTTTCCCGACACTCTTTTTTCCTACTTTCTCTTCTTTCTACACTAGGCAGTAGCACAATGTAACCCTTACATAGATTCTGGAGTTTGTATTTAGGAAGGAACTCCTATCAAATTGGGTAGGATTGCTAAACTAGCCCAGGCCTGAATTATATTTATGAGCACACAAAAGTCAGGCTAGCAAATACATTTTATAAGGCTTATTCTGACACCTGGAATAATGCCAATGATTCTGGGATAGTGTCAAAAGGCAGTATCTCTACTTGGGTGAGTATGTTACAAAAGAAATTTCTAGTGAGTTCCCTCCAAGATCAGGATATCTTCTTTTCATGATAAATATTTAATGATACAACATTAAAGTTTATCTCAAAAAGTTACTGTTTTGGTGGACTGCTAATAACTGCAAATAATAAATAGAAAAACTTGTGATTTAAGAAGTTAGCAAAAATTTACTTTTCGATTCCTTAACCAGAAAGAAATCTCTCAAAGACTACTGAATCTAGAAATATTCTGAACCCATTCTGAAATTCTAAAGTTAAATTTTACTTTTAAAAACCAGCACTACCAACTCTCAAACTGGGTTAACGTCAAACATCTAAAATTTACCTTGTAAATCTGGGGAATCACTACGTAGAAATGTTTGTGTTGCTCTCCATTAAAGTTTTGTAACTGTGCAGCATATTCATTTTTATTCTCATCAGCCATGTGTGTACGCAGATTCAACTGATGCTTAGCCTGCAAGCAAATTAGTCAAATCATCATCATCAACAAAATCACGGCTAATTTATTTTTCTAGGTTAAACTAAAACTAAGTCATATCAACAGAAAAGCCAACATCCGGACATCAAGAGAATAACAAGGTGGTAAGTTTGCTAATTTTCTAATTGATATAATTGATATCAATCAATAATAGATATCTAATTGATATCATTCAGAGTTTAATAAGTGACATCATAGGCTGAAATAGTAAGCTTTTAATCAAAACAAAAAATAGCTTCAGTGATTATTTAAATTAGTAGTAAAACATTTCTTTAAATCATATCAACTTATATCTAACTCAGAATCACTTAAACCAAATAATTACAATAGAACATATTTTAAATAGAAAGGAACAATAATATTCCAATAACAGTACTCAACAATGATTTTCATCTCTTTACAAAACCAGAAGTACTTAAAGAAATATGATAAGAGCTTCAAATAGTGGGAAAATTCCATTGTTTTTAAATTTCACTTTTCTGTGAACTTTCTGAAGCCCATCATATAGTTATGTTCATCTTAATCTCTTCTGGCAAAAATACTTCTCAACTATTGCTTACACTGGTTAGACAAAGTACTTCAAAGTACTGGCAAAAATACTTCTCAACATATTCCTTACACTGGTTAGACAGTCAAAGTACAAACTTAATACAAATTGTCAATTCTGGATTTATTAAAGGCATTCCTGATTTTATTAAAGGGGAAAAAATTCAACTGTTTTAAAGTAATAGGAAAAATCAAAGTTAGAATTCAGCTAAATTTCCTACAATGATCCAAGAAATAATTTGACACAAGTATGGGAATGTTTTACAAATTGTTAAGCACATTGTAAATACAACACTGAATTATTCTAATTTCAGTTTCAACAACTGCAGTCCTTGACCTAAGGCCATTACTTCTTGTGAACTCAGGGACAAACTGGCCTACAAACTTTGTTGGTACCCCACCAAGGTTCCTGGTCCTGCCGAGCAAGTAGGAGAACAAGGCTTGGAGTTAACAACTGAAGCCTCCTGTTGGCATGTTCCTGGCTCCACAGTAGCTACTTCTTTTTTTTTCAAAGGAAGCTCAGTAATCGGCCTGCTCTGCCCACCTCCACTTTCTCCCTCCCTATCCCCACCCCTGCCACCAAAAAAAAAAAAAAATTTATCATCAGTAATTGCTTCCAGAAGGAGCCCTGGTGCCATAGTGGAGTATGAGCTGGGTTGCTAACCACAAAGTCAGCAGTTTAAAATCCCAACTGCTCCTCAGAAGAGAGATGAGCTTTCTGTCCCTTAAAGAGTTACAGCCTCAGAAACCTGAGTTGGCATCGACTCCATGGCAGAAAGCCTGCTTGTGTTTGGTTAATTCTGAGTTGCTTCCAGCTATGTTTCCTTTGCTCCTTGGTTACTTAAAAGAGAATTCTACTCTTCTATTCTTAGAGCAACTCCTCAAAACATTCCTAATTCTCTGAAAAATAAAGGAATTGCAAATAAACAAAACAAACCAAAGCATAAGCCGTAAACATAATTCTGAACAAATTAGGCCAAGTTAGCGCTTATAGACATGTTCTATCAGATCAAAAGGTATTTGCCTAGCTCTTAAGTGATGTGATACCCCTTAGACAAATGGAGTAAAGAAGAGTCCAGTTAACAAATAAAACCTTAATTTACCTAGTTTATAAAGTATGTACTCAACCAAGGTTTGATAATAAGCCAAATGAATCTTTAAGGAGTCAATGTCAATCTGCAAGGAAGTCTCCCATGTATAAAATAGTACTATCTCCTACTTCCCTGTGGTTCACTTTTTTAACTGTTTTATTAGCACTTCATCTACATGTCATATAATTCAATCATATCAAGAGTTGTACAATTATCACCACAGTCAATTCTTGAATATTTTCTTCTTCCTTGGACTCATTGTTATTCAATATACTTTTTTTTTGTAATTGTGGCAAAAACATACAAAATACACAAAATACACACAAATATCTCCAATTCCACAACTTCTACATGTATAATTCAGTGCCACTGATAATACATGTTGTACAGCCATTGTTGATAACCTTTTTCAATTAATCCACCCCTGCTAACATAAATTCAATGCCTTCTAAGCAACATGTAGATCACATTTAACCAAGTCTTGATAACAGTGATTAATTGTGTATATAACATGATGCTAGCGGTGGGTAATGGATGACCACTATCAGGATCTAAAAATCTTAGCAACGGGACTGAAACTAATAATTGACTCAGATGTATATCTAAATGACAAATACCAACAGTACAGGTTCTGTTTGAGAAATACATATCTATACACCACAGCATTCGTGAAGACACAGGGAGTTCAGTTAAGCATCAACTCACCATGAATCAATCCAAACTGCAGTGCCCAAGATGTTGACGCTTAATTTATTTAGACTGTAATAACACAAACCTGGTATTCAGAAAGAGAATACTCAAGAACACTCAAACTCAGGACTGATCAGATTATACTTGGAATATTATATCCATTTTGACGTAACGTACTTTCATTGGGTATTGATAAAGTATATCCAAAGCAAAGTAATAAGAATCAAAGATAACTTATAGCTGTTGAATATGTGAAGTGAAGAAAAAAGAAGGTTCATCTGGTGGTCAACAATCTATCTACAAATATCTAAGATATGAGGGGAAAAAATATATATACTTTCTTTTACTATGATACCTCAAAGAAATGGAAACTAAGTAGGGAGTCAGTGGTGTCAATAAAAGAAAATGTTAAAACTGCAAACACACCCTCACGTGTACACACACACACACGTAAAACTGCCTTTTGGGCAGTGGTTTTCAACCTTCCTAATGTCGCAACCATTTAATATAGTTCTTTATGTTGTGGTGACCCCAAAACATAAAATTACTTTCATTGCTACTTCATAACTGCAATTTTGCTACTGTTATAAATCGTAATGTAAATATCTGATATGCAGGATGTATTAGGTAACCCGTGTGAAAGGGTCGTTTAAACCCCCAAAGGGGTTGCGACCCACAGGTTGAGAACCGCTGCTTTAGAGTATTTATGGCAAGGAACATCTTAACACTAAAGACATCATTGTGTAGGAAAGAAACAAATATCACGAGCTGCACTGAAAGAGCTATAAGGCCATTCTAATCTGGAGTTTATATGATTTTGGTGCTTTGGTGGGGTTTTTCATTTGTGTGTGTGTGTGTGTGTGTGTGTGTGTGTTTAGATTGTGTGTGTGTGTGTGTGCGTGTTTAGAATATGGACATTAAGTTATAAATTATTCTTCTGCTATCTTTATTCTCATTCTGATCCTACAGGGGATTATAAAATTCTAAGGATCTTTAGTGGTGTAGTGGCTAAATGCTTAGTTGCGAATGGAAAAGTCCAAACTTACCCACCAGCTCTGTTGGAGAGCCTGCTTCTGTAACGATTATAACCTAGGAACCTACATGGGATAGTTCTACCTGTCCTCAAGGGTCACTATGAGTTTTAGACAACGTGTCAGCAGTAGGTTTTTTGAAAGATACCATATTGGAACCCTGGTAGCACAATAGACAGAGCATCCGCTGCTAACTAAAGGTGGAAGGGTCCAATCTACCAGGCACTCTGTTGGAGAAAAATGTCTGCTTCCATCAAGATTACATCCTTAGAAAATCTGAGGCAGTTCTACTCTGTCCTATAAAGTGGGTCATTATAGATCAATTTAAGAGCAACAGAACAGGAAGTATGGAGAAAGGGTAGCTAAATGGTAATGAACATGTGGCTAATCTTATCAATAGTTATGCTACAAAACACCTACCGCAAAATCAGTGACAAGAAAAAGTTTGGTTTTCCAAAATGAACGAATATATACATAAATACTTAATATCACATACTTCTGACCATCTTACCATTTCCCTTCGGTAAAGTTGGGGCAGCAAGCTACTGGACTCCTGTTTGCATGCTACATTAACATACCTTCGGCTTTCTACTGTTTGTTTTTCCTCTGTGACTGGAAGCTCTCTATCTTTTCTATACATTTTGAATGTAGCAACAATATGATAATTTTGGTCAATAAATAAAACTAGCACATCTTAATTACCTTCTCAGATCAAACCAAATCCACTGCCATCAAGCCAATCTCAAATCAGAGAAACCCTATCCAGGGTTTCTGGGCCATAAATCTTTACAGGAACAGACAGCCTCAGTTCTCTCCCTCAGAGCATGGTTGATGGGTTTGCCACCTGGCTAGCTCCTTTCTTTTTAGACAAATAAGTATAAATTATAGACAAATATCTGTGTATCTTAGATTCAAATGAAATTTCACTTAGCGTTAACATTTAACGCTAATATGGATACAAATGTTATGATTATTTTCAAGTAACAATATTTTAATAATAAAGCAATTTAGATAATTTCTTACCTTTTCAACATCTGCCTTGGTTGCATTAGTGTCATTATCCAATCTTTCATAACTCTGTTGTGCCTTTTCTGCCTCTCTACATTCTCTTTCAAATTTCTTTTTACTCTGTCAAAAGAAGTGAAATACCACACTGAGAAATACAATGAGAACTATCTTATTTAAGAAATAACTAAAATGAAAAAAAAAAAAGAAGTAAAATGAATTGCACACTAAAAATAAAACCTGTCCTTTCTTAGAAAATAAACCTCACTACTAAAACCAATTCATGATCTTAAATACAAGGCCTTAATTCTAAACTGTCAAGGGAGAAAAAAGAATAAATCAAAGGCACAAATGAGCTAATATTCGTTACAAACTCAACTCCTCCCAATAATTTTTTAAAAAATATCACATGTGCTTATAATTTTTTTTACTATATACTTAATCTTCAGCAAAAGAATTTTTGTTTCCTTTATATTTTCATTGGTTTTGTTTGCCTGACTGGTTCTAGAGTTTGTTCTTAACTCTTCTAATGTGGTTTAGAACTCTCTCCAAAGTACTGCTGTACAGTTTCTACTGGTGTCCCAAGAAATGCCTCAGCTCACACTAGAACCAAGTCTTTTTAGAAAAATAATAATAATCTGACTTTAATGTGACTCTGCCAACATTCATAGTATAATGGTATTTTGCCTTTCCCTAACTTTTTTTAATCCTATGTGGTTGTTCAGTTTCATTGCACGTATTTCTAACTCAATCCCACTCACTTACAAGTCTTTATAAATATCTTCTGATTCAAATCAAACACGTTAGGAATTCTCACAGGGTAATTTTCCTGATTAAATCTCTCTCAAGCCGCCCTGATCTGCTGAAATAGGAACATTACCATCTAGACATCTGCATAACTGTTACACGAGATTTTCCTTCACCACTGTCATGAGCATTCGTCACTTCTCTAGAGTCCCTATTTCCAAGTACCATAAATTTGCCTTTGGATGAAGTACAGCCAGAATGCTCCTTAGAGGCGAGGATGGTGAGATTGGTCTTACATACTTTGGACATGTTTCAAGACAGACTAGTCCCTGGAAAAGGACAGCACACCTGGCAAAGTGCAAGGACAGAAAAAAAGAGGAAGACTGCTAACATGATGGATCGAGACAGTGGCTGCACTCATGAGTCAAATGTAACAACAGTTGTGAAGACGGCACAAGACTGGACAGCAGTCCATTGTGTTGTAAGGAGGGTTGCTGTGCGTGGGCACCAACTTGACAACTCTCAACAGCACTGCCAGGTTTACACACCTTTCCAGTTGACTTCTTCATTTTGCTGGAACACATTGAGCAGTAACTCCTTAAAAGGAGAACATTTTTGTGGGAGAGAATTTTTGAGTGTCAATGCTGAAAATAGCATCACTTTTAATTGATAAAATTTGGATGAGTCTAGAACTCTAGACTGAAAGTGACTTTTCTTCAGAAATTTAAAGGTATTACAATCCCACTGTTTTCTAATATCCTGTGTGACTACTGTCCAATCTCAACCTGACGCCTGATCCTTAGTGTAAAGCATACCCCCCCATTACCCCCACCCCCCTTTTCTCTCCCCTTTCTGAAAGCTGGTAAATAGTCTCTTTCTTCTAAATGTTCTGACATTTCATAAAAACTCATCATTTCTTGTTGTAGGATCCACTGTGCTGGGCATCTGGAAAATCCCTTCCTTTTGAAAACTCACATCTATCAGTTCTGAGATATTTTTCCCAAATTATTTTTGTCTGGTCATTTCCTGTTTAGAATACATATTATTTTGAAAATAACCTACTACTGAGTCTTCTATTTTCCCTCCTATTTTCAATCTGTCATTTTGTTCTATTTCCTGAAGAAAATGTCCAACTTTATCCTTCATCTTTCTATTGAGTTTTTTGTTTCTACTAGCATATACACAAAAATACTATACAAAATACTATTTTTGTATATATTCCTTTTAAGTAGTATTCTCTTCTTGTTTTGTTGATAATTGTGTCCTCATTTTCTTTTAGAACATTTAGAATAGTTTTGCAACTTTTTTATTTTTGTTTTTTGTCATTATGTTCCTTGCATAACTGCTGTTTCTTCTAAGTTGGTTTTTATTCTCCTCTCCCCAACTCGCTCGCCTTCACGCGCGCTCTCTCTCTCTCTCTCTCTCTCTCGCTCTCTCTCTCTCAGCAACTCTTATTAGATGTTTTCTTTAAATGATTGGAGACCCTTGGTTATCTGTTCTTATTTAAAAGGCCAATTGAAAGCTTTGCAAATGGAGCTTGTGGATTATGGCCTTTCAGGATAAGCTAATGTGATCAGCCAGTTTCCTTGGAGAAACCCTACTATCAGTATCTTAGCACTGTTAGACTTTTTTTTCTCTAGCTTGTTGGAATCTCCAGAGCAGACTCTCGTGATGCTTTGCCCCACTGCCTGCGTTCTGAGAAATGCTCAAGAGGGGGAAGCAGGGACTCTCAACATTTTTTATTTACTCACTCCTTTTTCAGAACTAGTCACAATCTCAATCTCTTATCTTGGGTCAGACATGTCCCTCTCCCTGTGCTGTCCTCTGAAGTGAATTATTCGGGGGAAGAAGGGGAGCCATCTTGGAGATTACAAAAGTACATAGGGAGTACAAACCTGGATTCTAAAGCATATGACTACTAAATCAAAGGGTCTAAATTTCTCAAAGGATACTTCCTACTCCCCCAATTTGACCTTCAGGCAGAAATAAGTTTCTTAGCCAGTGCTCAAAGTTCTCAAAGTTACCCTTTCACTAATCAGGCTTTAGTCCTTTCAAAGGTTCAAACTTTAAATAGGGATCACAATTACAACTTCTAGTCCATGCATTCACTATACCCCAAACCTCTGCACTCTTTTTCTTAGGATGGTCCCACATCAGCTCATATGTACCTATTATCTTGACTTTCAGTTTACTCTTAGTTTCTAGCAGTTAAAGAGATTTCCATTTCTTCAAGGTGGCTCAGCTGAAAGTTTAAAATATAGTAAAAAATACATTAGCTAGTACATCTATGTATCTGTAGTCCAAAGGCTTCTGTGTTGGCTCATGCCAGGAAGTCCCTATAATTTGTTTCCAAGAAATTTTTTGGTAATTTTTTAAAATGTAGACCTTATTGAGGCCAACATTTTAATTTATAGAAGGCAGCAAATTAATTCATACAATTCTCAGCACATAAAGTATCCAAATGTGCATATTATATAGAATTTCCCATGAAGATGAAAACTAACTACACATTTAACTCTCTGGAATACAATTCGGAGATGTTTTCAAACTGACTAGGTACATGTTATTAATTATGGTATAATTTGAGGGTGCTTGTATAAAAATATTTTTATATTAGTTGCCTTAATATTAAGCCTACCTCATTTCTTTGCAACTACAAAAGAGCCACTACTGTAGTAATATTAACAAATAGTATTCCTCTGAATGGAATCATTATACAATATATATGAATATATCCCTCAAAAATTTTCTTTCCATCCTTGTGTGGAAGACTAATCGAGAGCCATGATGTGCTTCCATCCTTCATCCTTCCTTGCACAGCAGAACCTGGAAACAGCAGATAGTCCTTTTCCAGTCTCCCCACAGCTGGGCAGAGGTAAGTAATCTAAAGTCCACTGGGGGCTTTCTGAGAACGGATTTTCTTCTTTGATTAAAAAAAAAAAATCCGAGACAGAAGAACAATGCTCCCTATGACTCTGGAAACAACTGAGTATGTTGTGCCATCTCGGTCTTTAAGCCAACTTCCAAGCACAGGGGCAAGCCTGAGGGGGGAGAAAGCACATGGTGAGATGCCAGACGGGGCAGACAGAAATGGGATCCTGCCTCAGTGATGTCACTTAGCTCCTGCCCAACCCTGGGACTGCTCTTGTAAGCTTGTGCTACTCGGCATCTATGCTATACCTGGCATCTAAGACTTGTTTTCTTAAACTTTGACTATTCCTTCAAAATCTCCTTTACAAGGCTGCTCTTGTTTGTCCACATCTTAAGTGCCTGTTGCTACCTGAGCACACTGATTTGAGTATTATTTTGTTTAACCTGGGGTTAATAACTGACTCTTTCAAACATTGTCTCAGTTTCTACTACTGTCACTCGTTCAACTTGTTGCCCCCAGTTCTTGATATCGCCACTAGTTCATACATGCCAAGAATTCCACCAATTTTATTTTCTTGACAAAACAAGAAGGCATGGAATGGGATACTGCACATGTAGAAACACATTACAATGAAATTATGAGAGCAGTAAAAAGTTTGTGGAGAAATTCCATTAGTCCACAAACTTTCTGACACCTCTCATTTATGTCAGTCTGCTGCCTGCTCCCCACCCCCAAATGCACATACACATACAAAAATGCCTCTCATATTTACTTTCAAGTCTCCAGAACATGCATAGCATGTTAGGGATGCCTTCTGAAAATATTAGTTGAGCTGAACTCACCTTTGTTGTATAGCATTGTTAAGAACTTAAAAACAAAAACCTCTCCTCTATAATTTTTGCATTATAGAACACATCTGTTCTACAATGGGTCAGTACATACTAGCTAGGATGATTTATGCCAATGCCAATTTTCAATGCCAGTGACTCACAAGTGTAGGAGTTTGTTATTCTGTGCAAATGAAAACACACACATGCTTATTAGCTGGCAGATACTAAGAATGTCAATGAAACTCATTTTTAATTTAATACACATAAACACTCCCTAAAAGTCTTGGTTCAACCAATTAAAAGGGAAATGTACAGACTATTAATATACCTAAAAATTCTCAATTAGCCTAATAATTTAAAACTTATAGCAATGACAGCTATCTAGTTGATATTTAACCTAAGCTGTGAATATTCATTTTAAAGGGAAGAGAAGAAAGGCTGAAAGTACTGTATGAGTTTGCTTTTTCTTGATGTTACCGTTCTTTTATCCAATAACCACAGGTTAAATGAAAAACTCCATTCAGCATAAGAAATATGCATTGTTCCACTCAAAAGTATGGAAGAGTAAATGGCTTGCTAATCTAAGAGTTCAAAAAGAACATGAATCTTACATTACAAAGCATCATTTGGCACAGCATTTGAACAAAAAGACAGTAGAGTTTGTACATAGACCAGTAGTTAATAGTTGCACGTAATGGAGGCACCATCTTATTTTTTTAAACGTGCAAATGCCAGGATACTTAAGAACAACAATATTAGCAAGTACCTTTGGGGAAAAGCCTAAACATTTTTATGCTTTTATAATTTTGGCCTATATTTTATTTACTACAATGCATGATGTATCTGACCAGAAGCTACACATGACAAGCACAGAATTACAGATGCAATGAACTGGAAGAAACACAACATCATCGAAGCCACTCTCTTCAGTTTTCATATGCTAAAAATGAAGTCAGGAGAACTCAGTGCTAGAGAAAGGGGGATAACTAGAATAGGGGTCCCCTGAGTTTCAAATGGTCTTACAAGAGATCACCCTGCTTCCCTATTATTTCTACTCTCTATCAAAATTTTAAGCAAAGTCAAAAAGCATCTTCCCAAATGTTCCCAAAGATCTGAAGATTAGATAGTTGGTACATACACAGAAGCCAACAGAAAAGAAAATCCTACATTCCACATCTACACTTTTCTATTATTCAACAAAATCAATGTCAAATTATAGAAACCATAAACTCAGATGTAAAATATAAGAGAATTAAGGACGAATTTAACTATGAAAGCACTAGAACTCACATTATCCATCTGTTTCCAGCACATGTCAAGGTACTGTTGAGCTTTTCGTCCTTCTTGGAGATGCTAAAGATTATAACAACATGAATAAATAAATAATTATACTTCAATACCAAAATGCAGTCTAAAGCCACAGAACGCCTTTCTGCTTTTTGCCCCCCAAAGCATGAATTACTTTATCAATATCTAAGAAGAGATTATTATCAAAGTAAACCTCTTTAAACTTTTAAAGGACATTAATTTTCAGTACTAAAATATAACCCTTAATATGTATAACCTTTGGGAAAGTAGATAATTGTCTTGAGTATGGGGTTGGCAAGCATTTTCTAACAAGCAGCAAACAGCAAATGGTGTCGTAAATTACAACAGCAAGATCAGCAGTTCGACTTCACTGAGGGTCAAAGAAGCACCTATCTTCTCCCATAAAGATTTACAGCCTTGGAAATACTAAGGAACTGTTCCACTCTGTTCTATACAGTCACTAGGAGTCAGAATTGCCTCAAAGGCAACTGGTTTATTAAGATGGAATCAACATGAAGGCATTGGGCTTGATTTCAGGTTTCAACCACATACTACTTAACTCTGTTCTTAGAGTGCAAAAGCCACATGAGTGTGGCTTTGTTCCAATAAAACTATTATGAATACTGAAGGAGCCCTGATGATGTGATGATTAAGGGCTCAGCTGCTAACCTAAGGTCAACTGTTCAAACCCACAAGAAGCTCTGTGGTACAAAAGACCTGGTGATCTTCCCACATAAAGATTGCACAGTAGGAAACCCTATGGGTCACAATCTATTCAACAGCACCTAACAAGTCAATTAAATCTGAGTTTTATATACTTGTCACAGGTTATTAAACATTCTTCTTCTTTTTTAGTTTTTTTAACCATTTAAAAATGTAAAAATCATTCTTTGCATGTGATAATTGTGGGACAAAAATATAGTAAGCTGGATTTGGCCTGAGGGAGAGTGAATTATTTAATGTGGCTCTTCTAGTCAAAGTCTCTAACTACTACCAAGTGACCTTTTCCTGCTTGGTCTAGTAAGAAGGTGGGGGAGACACTGACTGCTAGGATTCAACTGTGAGTAATTGTGAACAGAATTCCCTGGAATGCTATCTTGCTCCTCTTAAAATGAAACCCTCTGAGAAGCAGGAGGAGGTATCTCATTACCAGCAAGAGCCAGGAATGGAGTACATCCTCTGACCCTGAGATCCCGGTGCAGTGAACCTCCTGGATCCAAAAGATAGCTATAACACCAAAGGAAGAGGAGCAACAGAACCAGCAGCCAGAACCTGAAACAATGGTGGACTTCCCAGTCCACAGAACAAATAAAGCTGAGTGTATGGGAGCAGCATGTTGGCTTGTGTAGTGGAGTGCCTCTGGCACTTAACTTGGGAATCTGGGCTTCCCATGTGAAGCTGAAGGCCTTCAGGCCGAGGCTAACTGGAGGGTGGTGCCTCAGGGCGCGTAATTCTAGGAGCTGGACATGCTAACCCACAGAACTTGAGCTGAACGCCTTTGGGTTGAAGCTTACTTACATCAGAATGGTATGCCCCTTTGGACATTTATTAGCAAACTTGAATGAACTTGAAAAACAATTGTATCCTGAACATTACCACCTGTAACTGCCCTAATAAATTCTTTAATCGTGATTACTGTCTGCGAACACTGTGCAGTCATTGCAACGGATGCTAGAACCCAGAAAGGTAAAACAGGGAGCACTAATTAAGAAAGCACATAGCCCATTGACAAAATTTGCAACTCCTGAGATAATTCATAAATAGAATACATTTAGTGAAAGAGAAAACCAATTTGTGTTGAGCATAATATACACGAGAGAGCTTCAAAATGTTCATGGAAAAATTCCAGTGTTTTTAAATTACATTTTTCCACAAACTCTCTGAAGCCATCTTGTGTTTTTAGGAAGCAACTTATTTTTTTATTTACGTGAAAAAACAATATAAGAATTGAATAAAAGTAATTACCATTTTTCTTTCCGTTTTCAGATCATGAGCGTATCTCATTAATTCACCATATACTCTGTGTGCCATTTCTTCTGCTACTACTTCTCGCTGTCCTGCATAGTCATTTAGCTCGTTGAGAATGTTAAAAAAGGCTATACACGAGGTAAACCTGACAAAAACATATTTTTAAATGGTGAAATTTATTTTCATATTCATTACACATTTTTTTAGGGGGGTGAGGTATGGATTGAGGCTGGCACTTGGCAAATTTTAAAATAATCAACCTAATCTCAGCTACATTCTAAATTAACTTAAATTGGGAAGAATCCTGCATTAACCTCACGTTGTACATGTTTGCATATCTTCAATTAGATTCAACTTACAAATAAAGGGATATTTGGGGTCAAAAAGTAGTAAGAATACTACTTGCCGGCTCTTTTGACATACTGGAATCTCTTAAAATTGCCAACTGAGAGGACCTAATGCCGGGGGCTTAAGTGGAGAGGAAATGTTTTGAGAATGATGAGGGCAATGAATGTACAAATGATGAATGTACAAATGCGCTTCACACAATTGATGTGTGTATGGATTGTGATAAGAGTTGTATGAGCCCCTAATAAAATGATTTTAAAAATAAATAAATAAAAATAAACCATGAAAAAAAAATTTGCCAACTGACTGGCCTGAGCTTGGGAATGAACTTGGTTGGATTCCTAGGCTTGGTAGCTGAACTGCTGCAGAGATGTTGTGCGTGTTCTCGAGGGCAGAACCTGGCGATCATACCACTCAAATGCATCTCGATGGCTGATCTACAGAATACCTTTGCTATCAGCTCTGGACACAGCTGCCTGTATGCCTGCCCACATCCTGAATGGAAGTGAAGTATCATTATGGTTGGTACCAAAGGGGGATAGAGGGGGCAAAAATAAGGGTTAAAAAAGTGTGTGGAGGGAAGGAGAGAAACAAAGAGAACTATTGTATTAAAATGTAGATATCGGGTGGGGGGGGGATAAAATAAAATAAATAAATAAAATAAAATGTCGGTATCTACTAAGGAACATTCTTTTACAGTTCAGGTATGTTGATAACTCAGATACTAGTAGTAGTCCAATAACAACAAATCTTAGAATCTTAACAATAAATACTTTCACACAAGGTTTTTTGGTTTAAGTCTAGTCCCTTTGTGTCTCCACATTTTAGTCATCCTTGAGATCCCTGTTCAAAACTGCCCCAAAGCCCATAGGACATCCCTCATCTTTATTCAGAACTCCAAAACTATGCACAAAACTTTTCATTATCCCTTGAAATCAATTCTTACCTATACGAGTAAACCAAAGTTTCCGACAGGCAGATTGCTACAATATAAGCAATAAGAAAATACCCTTCTCTTCTGGAGACTAAACCATTCAAGTGGGAGGTCCCATCTACATTTTACTTCATAACCAATGAAGAGACCTGGTGGTGTAGTGGTTAACTTGTTGGGCTGTTAACTGCAAGGTCTGCAGATCAAAACCACCGGCTAGCTCCTCAGGAGAAAGACAGGGCTTTCTACTCCCGTAAAGAATTATAGTCTCAGAAACTCATGGGGACAGTTCTACCCTGTCCTATCAGGTCAAAATTGACTCAATGGCAGTGAGTCTGTTTTTTAATAACCCAAACCTGAACTATTCTAAGAAGCTGTTGATCAACCCCATGGAGGTATTAATCTTTTTAAGAAGCAGTAGCACCTTCTTTAGTAAACATTATTATGATTATTCTTGTATTAAAGCAAAATAAAGCTATAATCATCTATCTTAATAAATAACAAGATGTGAGTATTTCTTAAGTTTGTTAATAAGCAATAGAGCAGTATTGCAAGTTACCTTGGCTCTTCATCTTTGGATGACCGTTTGGGGCAGTACTTCTTAACCAGATTCCTATAGAAAGATGATTTTGAAAATTTGATATATGAAGAATACTGTTGCTGGTTAAATATTCTAAAACTTTCCAAATTCATTAAATCTATGACTCCATGATATAAAACAAATAAGAAAGCTACTTAAATATGAACTCCCATTGACACCATAATGTTAAGTCGTTAACTTACATCTTGCTCTTAAAATATTGGCAGCTGCTGAAAAAAAGGTTAGTTCTCTTTTGATGTGGGCATAACAATTTGATTGATTCGATGATCAAATAAGAAAACAGGTTAGAGAAAGTACAAGAGAAACAAAGTAGTACATTTCTAAGAAATAGTGTCACGTTTTTTGTTTTGCAAATCAGAGATTTTAATACTAAGGTAAAATGTAAGTCTATGCTGAATCATTTTCGTCTGCATCATGTATAACACTTCTTTTATATAAAAATTATTAGGTGACTCTTTAACCTATTTTTAGGAAAATGAGTTGTTTTTATCAGAAAGGATATATTTAAATATTTATCAAACAAGTTAAAAGTTCCAATGGCTACACTTGAAGGCCTCACTGCATGTTAGTATTTATCTCCCATTAAAATATATGGCACACACTCATTAATTAAATCAAGCTGGCTCAATATTCTGGCTTGTAGCTGTCTGTGTCTACATCCATGTTTGTTCGTGACAATCTGGAAGAAGGCGGCTACCTCATGTCCTATTTGTGAAAGCAGAGGTAAACTGGCACACAATCTTTGGGAACAGTCTAGACTACCTGGGTTTGAAACCTGATTACTTTGGGTAGTGTTATGTTTCCTTAGACAATTTACTTAACTTCTCTGTGCCCCCTTTTCTTATCTAAAAATGTTATAGATAAACAGTAGCTACCTCATAGGGGTGTTATGAAAAATAAGGTAATATTTTAAAAGCATCCACCACAGCGCTTTATGTCAATGTTCCTAATGTATGCTTCATGTACCAGTAAAGGTCCAAAGGCTCTTTGTTAGGAATCTTCAAGTTAAGTACAAAGTTTGAAAGTAGCTTTATGTTTGTTGCTCTAACAATAAAAAAAAAATCAGAACCTGTTCTCCAAATCCCCGTGGAAGACCTAGTCCCCCTAAGGGAATGGGGGTGGGATGGAGAACAGACACAGAAGAAAGGAGTTCAGAGCAGCGATTATCAATAAAACAAGGTACAAGATTAAAAATAATCCATTACATTTACCTTTTTTACAAAAATCTTTTCTAATATTTAATATATTGCTATACTCCACAAACATATAATGTACAAATAACCGTGCAAGTACATGCTAAGTTTTTACACATGAGCAAAGAAATGCTCAGAGATCCTATATCTAAAGAAGTAAAATATGTAACCACTTTTTAAAGTAACGTAACATATGATGTTTTCAGGGACATCCCCCTAAGTGAAGAAAACTGAAATTCTGATGCCTTTAGAGAAACTCAGAGATGAGCTGAGAACTCAGAGAAATTGGGAAACAGAAAGTCGTAAGGAATGCTAGATAGAGAAAAGAAGAAACACGGCAGTCATGAAGAACTGTAAGTTCATGTTTTCAGAACATCAAGTATGTGCCAGAGAAGACCGAGCAGTAAGGTTGGAAAGCTAGTGGAACTGATCAGAGAGAGGTTTTTCTAAGGTGTTATTAAGAACTCTCACTGAATACTTCTAAGCAATGGTTCTTAATCACGGTTACCTGAAACACTCCTAATAAACGATTTTGTGAATAAACTTAATAACTTATTAATTCACCCAAACACCAGCAGGTCTACTATGTGGTGCGTCAAAGTATTCCAAGTACTGGACTGATAGAGAAAGGATAACAAACTAGTACTTATGCATGACCTACAGTCCTTTATAAGAGAGAAAGGAAAAACTAAGGCTGGGGGGAGATGAGGAGTAAGAGTTAAACAGAATAAGTAAATCCACAGAGGCAGAAAGTAACTGGAGGCTGCCAGTGGGGCAGGAGAGGTGGGGAGTGAATGTTAATGAAGACCATCTTTCTTTTTTAAA